TTCAAGGGAAACTATTATGTTAAGTATGTCACCTATGCACATATTTAATAAGTCAATATTGACTTATTAAATTTGCGAGAACGTGTTGCCCTTCCTCAATAATTAGGAAGTGGTGTAGGCTGTGGGAAGAAATGAAACGTTTGTTGAAATGACTCACCCAGAGCAAGCTGTAGTAGGACGTTGCGTTAACCTTTTTAATGACAATGTGGTGCCTCACTACAGACAAGTGTTACAACGAAGGGAAAAAACAATCCTCTATGGATCGTTTTATAGTGTGAAAATCAAGCAGAGAGCTACAAACAGGTCCTTGTGGTATGCCTGCAAGACGTAGGAGAGAGTACCCCAGAAAAGTTATCACTGCCTGATGTTATAATGGAAGGGGACTCCCCTTCCAAACACACACTTCTCCTCCTCCTCCCCCCCCCCCTCCTCACCGTCTTCCATACGCCAACAAGAGTCATTAGTAAAGGTAAGTAATAACTTGTACATACTTTAGTACTGAAGATTTGGGTGAATTAGGAATAAAATTTACTTTGAAGTTAATTTTTTGGGAGTCTGGAACGGATTAATTCAATTTCCATTATGTCTCATGGGGGAAATTCGCTTCAGTTTACGAATTTTTGGCTTACGAACCGTCTCTGGGAACGGATTAAATTCGTAATCTGAGGTACCACTGTAGTTGTTTTGTTCGTTTGCAGCTGTCTTCTTTTCTGGCAAAGGATGAGACAGCTGCTTTCCGGAAAGGTCCTTGGGTTGTTGATGCTTGGTTGGTCTGGCAAGGGGGTGCATCATGTGTTGGGTCCGGTTGCGGCTTTCCACCATTTCCTGCGCACCATGGCTTTGGTGGTCAGGGACGTGCTTGGGGCTGACGGTTTCCCTTCTTCCCTGTTCAAGGGTTCGAGTCTCCCAGGTCGTCCGATGGCTGTTTGCTTGATACCTGCTTGATGGGGTTCTGAGAGTTCTTCTACTCCCCAAGCCCGGCGCGAGGCCAGGCTTGACTTGTGAGAGTTTGGTCCTCCAGGCTGTTGCTTGGAGAGGACCGCAGGCCCACATACCCACCACAGCCCGGCTGATCCGGAACTTCTCTTAGAAAACATCCCAATTTTCTCTTGAAGATGTCCACGGTTGTTCCTGCAATATTTCTTATAGTTGGCTCCTTCGGTCCGGCCCAACTGCGGTCTATCCTTGTGCCCGTGTCTTTGGTGTGTTTGCTGTGTTGGCGATCGCCTCCCAGGTTTGTCCCCCTTATGTTATCATTGGGTATGTAGCAGTTGTGTCCAACAGTCTGGCTGACTAGACCACCAACAGCTAGACCGTTGTAGCCTTGAGCTGACCGTTGGTGGTGCACACATCCTGGGGCTGGCTGTTGGTGGTGCACACATCCTGGGGCTGGCCGTTGGTGGTACACACATCCTGGGGCTGGCTGTTGGTGGTGCACACATCCTGGGGCTGGCCGTTGGTGGTGCACACATCCTGGGGCTGGCTGTTGGTGGTGCACACATCCTGGGGCTGGCTGTTGGTGTTGGTGGTGCACACATCCTGGGGCTGGCCGTTGGTGGTACACACATCCTGGGGCTGGCTGTTGGTGGTGCACACATCCTGGGGCTGGCCGTTGGTGGTACACACATCCTGGGGCTGGCTGTTGGTGGTGCACACATCCTGGGGCTGGCCGTTGGTGGTGCACACATCCTGGGGCTGGCTGTTGGTGGTGCACACATCCTGGGGCTGGCCGTTGGTGGTGCACACATCCTGGGGCTGGCCGTTGGTGGTGCACACAATACAAAATTAAAAAATGGCATTAACCTTAGATAATTTAAGATTGACTGCAGACTTTATATATATTATATGTCATGAAATAGCTTTGTATTTTAACTGCATTTTGGTGCCTCTGGGTTTTTGAGACCAGCTCTGCTACATAAAGGTAAGTTAACAAATTAATATTTTGTATATTTTTGGTGAATTGTTTATATCAATACAAATTCATTCATATATTGTATGTCTGAATATGCTGAAACATTTATTGTTCCATTTGATATAAGAAAACACTAGAATATTTGGTTACAAAAATTGGGTCCGAAACAATATGATACAGACTTGGGAGTCAAAATGTTCACTGGCCACGAGGTGAGGCCGAATGTTTTCTAGTGAAGTTCTGGGCACACAAGAGTATTTGGTGTTGGTTGTCTCTCTTTTTATAAGGCCAATATCAATGGAAGTCTAAAATGTCTTGCTGTTTCCTAATTGGCTTCCTGTGGCCCCACTTCTCTTTCTTGCAGAATGGATATAGTGTCTAAGAGTTAACACTACAGCAATCCCCCCTTCCTCAGCAGAGGGAGGCATCTGGTCAAAAAACATGTAGTTTGAAAAAAGGATGTGGTTGTCACTCCCTGGATTCCTGATTGAGCATTAATGTTCAGGGTCAGAAGCAGTCAGCTTGTGTGAGGCTTGTGCAGCCCAGCCACGGGAAAAATGAGAGAAAGAGAAAACTAAGTTGTCGCCAATTCTCAGGTTAATGGTGGTGTTGGTGGTTCTGGTGCCAAAGGCAAGCAGCATGCAGAATGCACTCAAGTACCAGTACCTAGTAGGCTATACATTAAACAGAGATCCTACAATGTAGACACATTGGGAGCATGTAGATGGCTAGTGGAGGGTAGGGATGAAATGATGTGGACATGGGGAGGGGGAAGAGGGGGAACCAAGAGGAACACTCTCGGCAAAAAACTGTGGAGTAGCAGCAGAATGCCTCACCTCAGACTCAGTCATTATTGGTGAATACATTGAAACAATTATTTTGGAATGAGCTTGAATGAATAGTGGGTTGAAGACTCCAGACGAGATCTGCAAGTATATGTGATATCTGTGAAGAGCCCCAGTCACTGTAATTGGTACCTTATCTCAGAAAAGAGGATGTTGTGTTCAAGGTGCAAGGTGGCGGCCAGCACAATTAATCACCAAATTTCCAACATGCATTTTAATGGTATGGGGAGGGGGAGACAATCCTAGACTAAATATTAGACACCCTCCCAGACAACTGAGTTTGGAAGTATTATACTGTCAAAAGAAATTTTAGTAATATAGAGGAGTGTGCACTTACCATGACAGGGGGTTGGGGCATATGAGCATGTCCACCCACCATGTATCCCAGGCAGGGTGAGACACATGGTCATGTCTCCTTACACCCATTACCTCTGTTCATCTAGTAGTGATTAGGAACCTCGGTGTAAATCGACTGTTGTGGGTGGCATCCTGGAAAATGTTCAAATGCTGCATGTATCCCAGGTACACTCAAATTTCCCACAAATGCCACAAGGTACAGCACTCGAAAAATAACCGGAAGGCTACACATGAAACATGCCACAAGGCAAAGAAACTAGCACTGCAAGGCCACTGCAACGAATGGGCCGGAAGGCCCCAGTCCAAAAAAGGGTTCACTTCCGAAGTCAAACTGAGTGGGTTCACGCCCAAACAAAGTAACTACTACCTGGATAATGAAGCATCCCTGGCAGTCTAATATCACAATGGTGGTCTTCAAGATCCTTGCCTATAACGAAACTATAGAGTGGAATAATAATCATACCTGACATTAGCATTCAGCCAGACATTTGTGGAGACTGTTATTGGAACTTCACCAACACGAAGCATGAATGTAAGGTAGTCAGTCTGGTCCCAAGACTGGAATTCTACAATGTGCTTGCGAGACTGAGGCAGAAGGTAAGAGTCATGCCAACTGACTGGCACAGGGGAATGAAGAGCTAGAAATTTTTAGTACAGTAAATGCATGCTCAACCATATAAGATCAAAATATTTGGTCCATGTAGGTGGGCCTAACATTATTGGATGTGGTAGCATGCAAGGTGGTAGTGTGCAAGATATACTCAAGTGGAGCCAAGGGAAAGTATGATGCCATGGCCCCTTTGAGTATTGCTGTTGTTACAATTATTTAAGAATTTGTCAGGAATAAGGAGCTGGCGAGGTAGCAGTAGACACTGAAACAATGATTTAGAAAATGAGAGGCCAGCACAGTAGCAGCTGTGGGACCAGCAAAAAGACTTCCTCCTGGTTAAGATAGGAAAGCATATCTTCCAGTAGTAGTCCCAACTAGTGGGCCAGATTGCCTACTACACAATTTGTAATGGGATGCTAACTGAGCTCTGCCTCTTGCATTACAGAGGCTTTGCCATATTAAGGTTTTAAAACCTTGCTGCCTCACATTAACAGTCTAACATTGACATTGACCTCGCATTAATAATGAATGAAAAAAAATCTCACAGGCCACACTTAACTCCCCTCCAATTTTTCTCAGAGGCCCTAAAGCCACTCTACTGCAATGGGGAAACACACCATGCAAAGGCCTCCCATCCACAAGAAAGCGGTCCCCAGGGGTAAGAAATATCCCAAAGGAAATCCAGAGTTTTCTCAGAGCCTGTTTCGAGACATTAATTTTGTTGTATTTCATGTTTAGAATCATGTAGCAAATTCAATGGAATATAAATGAGACCTAATGAAGCTTATATTGGCATTAGGCTGCAAGAAAATTTTGAAATTCATTTGGAATGCTTTACATTTCCTCACTTTTTATTTTTTTACTTAGGGTTGCGATCTATGGACTATGAATAACAATTAGATTCTTCACACATCCACAGCACCAATATTTTAATGTTAAAAATCATTAATTTGAACAATTATATGCAGCAACAGAACTGTGTACTATGTTAGACTGTGCCCACAGCTCTTGCTAGCTATAATATGACATCCACTGACTTTACAGATTAACACAAATATTTGTCTTGAATATTGTACATATGAAACATGAGTTACACACAGCCATAGATATGTTGCACTCAGATGAGATATTTTTCACTTGAAAAGCACAAAAACACACATTTGCAATTATAAGTGAAATTAGGAGATTCCAATCAAAATTGTTGCCAAGAATTTTTTATTATTATTATTTACCATATGGCATTATAAAGGATCATCAGAAAAATGAAACAACCCTGTTTTAGTCCATGGATTTATATTTTTATAATTTTATAAAAACAGCAAGTTAGCAATGTAAAACAAACTCTTATTTCAGCTTAGAAGAAAAGTTGACAAAATACCAAAGACAAAAGGTCATGTTTCTTGAGCAAATATTATTTACTAGACAAACATAAGTCACACTGAAGGAAAGAAACTCAAGTTAAAACAAAATATCATGCCTGGACTAGCAAAAGTAATGGTTTACCGTTACATACATTTGCAGTTCTGGAGATAATGGCAGAACAATCCTTCTCAAATGAATATATCAGACTGTCGTTTGATAGCTTCACTGCATTTAAAACTCTATTAGTAAAGAAAATGCAACAAAATATTTTTAACTTTTTCAGTTTATATGGACATAAGATGAACTCTGTGAAAGTCCTCAGATTTTTGTAGAATAAAAATATTATATAAAGACATAGGTAGGACAATTCACCTTGCATGCACCTTTCATAAATGTATTAATATTGTACACTTAACAGATGACTAACAAGCCTAGCCTAGTTAAAAACCAAGACTTTATACAAACATTTAGACATGGGTGCACAATTGCATAATAATAATGTAAATGTATGCACATATGTGTACATGAAGATGTTTTCTATGTTGAAATGCATGCATATATGTGTATGTACTTACATGTTTGTGTCTGCAGGGAGATCAGGTGTTACTATTATAGTACTTCCAACCTTCAGTTCTTTGGTCATATTTGCTCCTGTACCATAATTAAGGATAGAGATGGCTTCTACCGCTTCCTTCTCCTCCTCCAATTTATTTTGAGTTACTCAACACTACTTATGATAAAAGAACTACTGTACTTGGTAATATTCCTCATTTGTGTTTGCAAATTTAATTTCTGCCCTCTGTTCTAAGATAGTGAATAATTACATTATCAAGAAAAAGTATATTTGTATGTGCAACACAATATTCAAATATTGTTCCAGTTAACCATACGAGAGCAGGTTATCTTTCATAGAAAGAAGTTCAATTCGCCGAGTAGAGTAGCTAGTTACAACTATTATACAGGAAAGGTTGGATGGTAGTTTTCCATCATCCTGAAAAATCAGAGCATTCAACTAAAAGACCACACACATTAAGTGACCGAGAGTCACACTAGTATGAAAAACTCGCAAGCAGATAAAGGAAGTTCCCATTATTCTTTGTTCTAATGGCATCATGAATACACTTCATTAAAAAACACTATTTTTCATTTGAAATAAGCTATCTCTGTTTGCATCCTTTATTCCCTTCTGATCTTGAACACTGTGGCCCATGTTTCCTGTGTATGCATGAGCATGTACACACATGTATGTGCACATACATATGTATGCATGTGTGTGTGTGTGTGCGCGCGCACACACGTGCATATGTACCCATGATTATGTGTGCATGCACATGTTAATGAGGATGCATATGCATGTGCTTGTGCATGTGTATGTGTGCACACATGCATGCACACTTACATAAGCATGCATGTATGTGTGTACTCACACATTGTTTATGTATATCCATATATAAATCCACTTACACTGACTGTATGTGTATATTTACGCAAGTTACATACAGAAGGTCTTTTCTCCCTCAAGCATTATTCTTTTACAGGATCACTGAATAACTGTTCTTTTTCTAGCCATATAGACTTGGCCAGAATTATCATAATTTTGTCCTCGCCTTATCCATAAACTTAATACCATAACTTCATTGGATAAGGATACATCATTTCACTTTTGCCATATATTTTTACTTTATCAGAAATGTGCAACCACCAACTGATTGCTGTTCTTGCATGTACCAGCAGTTGTCAGGTCCCAAATTTGTTTATATTTAACTAGTGCTCAGGATCTGACAAGGGTTTTCTGGAGGACGTGAGCATCAGCAGGTTCAATTCTCTTGTAGTAATGTTGCTTTGTTTCTACCACTTCGAAACCGAACTTCTTGTAGAAATCTAATGCACCGTCATTGTTAACTTGAACATGTCTGAAGAACAAAGAATAATAGTGAACACACATCATCTCTCTAAATCAAAATTGAGAAAAACTTAACAGAAATGTTCTAAATATTTGTTCAACAATACCTATTTTGTATTTACCTTCATATGCAAATGGGGTAAGTCAAGCTCACATTCCTCTCATTCTCTCAAACTATACTTTTCACAATACGGTACTAAAATGCCTTTGAAATACAATGAACCTGACAAATAAAGTGTTCATTTTAATAAATTTTCAAGTCTAGTTTAAAATGCATCTACTTAAGCTATTCATCTATAACACCAAAAACTATTAACTGGTTCATAACTGCATCTTCATCTCTGAAATAGCAATACTGTACACAATTTAACCGTTTACTACTCTTATTATTTATTTACGATGACCATGGCGCACATAATATCATTTCCAAATACTGCACATAAATTAATTCACACTTCCATACTTACCTACACCAATGTTTATACACATAAAATAATGATAAAATCGATAGGGAAGATTTCCTGAGACCTGGAACTTCAAGAACAAGAGGTCATAGATTTAAACTAGCTAAACAAAGATGTCGAAGAAATATAAGAAAATCCACTTTCGCAAACAGAGTGGTAGACAGTTGAAACAAGTTAGGTGAGAAGGTGGTGGAGGCCAAGACCGTCAGTAGTTTCAAAGCATTATATGACAAAGAGTGCTGGGAAGATGGGACACCACGAGCGTAGCTCATCCTGTAACTACACTTGGGTAATTACAGGTTTCTAGACAGATGAGGATAACGTCTTATAAGGTCACAACACAAAATAGCCCAGGCCTGTCATGCAATGGGCAAGATCATTTTCTGAGCTATGCCACCCTTCTAAAGACAAGAACCTTCTGGCCTTGTCAATTTGCATTGTTGACTTTTCTAGCAAAGTTCAGCTTCTAGTAAGAGACCTGCAGTACCAGTTGCAGCTTTGGTAATGTTTGGCCTGCTTAGGTCCTGTCTGGGGTACCAGAGCAGCTGCCCTTTTATCATGCGAGACTTACATTACTGCAGGCTGCTTCCCATCTTTATATTCTCCTGTGGAAATACTTCCACACTTGGCAGATGCTCAGGCCTCCTTGACCTCGAATTTCCTCTGCCCCCAAATGTCTTTATGTTACAAAATCTGATTTGGCTGTTTCCTTTTGACTTTGGGGATTTGGGACCATGGAAGCTGCTAGATCTGTCTCTTGAGCTGTTTATCAAAAAGTTTGGCATAGGCCGAGACTTTGTCACCAGACTTTACCAATGTGCTCTGGCATTACTGTGCACTCGTGTGTTTGGGAAATGGTAGCAGTTTGGATTGCACTCCAGCATATCCTTGTCTTGAAAGGCTCAGTGTATAATTACCTAAGTAATTACTTAACTGTGGTTACAGGATAAGATCTATTCTTGTGGTGTCCTGTCTTCCCAGTACTCTTTGTCGTATAACGCTTTGAAACTACTGACAGTTTTGACCACCACTTTCTCACTTAACTTCTTCCAATCTTCTACCACTCTGTTTACAAAAGAAAACTTTCTAATATTTTTGTGGCATCTTTGTTTCTTTAGCTTGAATCAATGACCTCTTGTTCTTGAAGTTGCTGGTTTCAGGAATTCCTCTGTCAATCTGATCGATTCCTGTTATTATCATGTAAGTGGTGATCATATCACCTCTTTTTCCTTCTGTCTTCTGGTGTTGCTGAACACCTCTAGCCTTTCTTCATAACTCTTGTTTTTTCAGTTCCGGAAGCCATTTTGTAGCAAGCCTTTGCACCTTTCCCAGTTAACTGATGTGCTTCTTGAGATATGGGCACCATACAACTGCTGCATATTCCAAATTTGGTCTAAAAAATCATGAACACTTTCAGTATTTCACCATCCATATAACTAAAAGCAAGTCTGAAATTGGAAAGCGACACATACGCTCCTCTGACAGTGTCCTTTGTGTGTTTCTCTGGTGACAGTTTACTATCCAAAACCTCCCCTAGATCTCGTTCTTTAATGTCTTTCCACATAATTTGTGGAAATAGACAACACTCAAATATGCAGCAGTTGTATGGTACCCATATCTTAGGAAGCACGTCAACAAACTGGAAAAGGGGCAAAGACATGCCACTAAGTGCCTCCCAGAACTGAAGAGTATTGATCTATTTTGAGTGTTTCCACGTTCGATTCCACGTTCCATAACATGGCATTTATTCGCATTGGATTTCATTTGTCACATGTTGCCTCAAGAACGTTTTTTTACCTAAATCAATTAGGAAGAGGAAGAAAGAAAAAGAGAAAGAAAGAGAGAAAGAAAGAAAGAGGAAGAAAGATAAAGAAAAAGAAAGACAAGTGATGGTGATAACTAGACTGCACATGGAAAATCGGACTGGCTTGCAAATGGGTAGCAAGACCCTAGATTTCACAGATGAAACTGACATCTTGGGAATGAAGTTTGACTCTTCAATGACAAGAAAGGCCATGTGCTTAACCTAGCTCAAAAGGCAGGCAGTTAACTTACAGCCCTGTGGCACATCTCACACCTTCTTGACAGCAAAGACTGTAAAACCTTATATGGAGCACAAGTTTACTCTAATCTACAGTATACACTCCTTTCCTCAATCGCCTCCCCCCCCTCCCCCCATAATTCCTCAGACTGTTGGACAAAGTGGAGAGATGGGCAAGAAGGCTCATCTCTAGTCTTGACCAAGTCTGGTGGGAACGGTCTGAACATCAGAACTTGCAACACTGACGTGACGTTGGTGGTCTTACTGTTATGTACAAGGCCAGCATCCTCAAAGTTCCACACCTGGCCCAACTCCGTGGAGTAATTGCCACCTGTAGCACTAGGCTTCTACCTTCAACAGTCTCATGCTAGAAGTGCCTTTCTTAAGAACATCACTCCATCAGTGACCATTCACTCTGAGACTGACTCGCATCTGGAATTTCTTCGCTCAACAGGGTGATACACGAGATATTAGGTCAACTTATCACATGAAGGCTCTGGCACACAGTTGGCTACGGGCTCATATAATTCCTCATATAATTGTTACCTAATGCTGTTAAGAAAAGTGGGAAGTGTGAGATTGAAAAAAAATATCAAAATTCAAAATGTTGAATAGACATTTTGTAAATTAAATTGTTATACGATAATCAAAAACAGTAACTTACAAGAAAATGGAGTTGAAGTTTCCTTCTCTCTCTACAAAGTTAAGAACATGTTCAAGCATCTTTGTACCAATGCCCAAACGTCGGTATGGAGCAAGGCAGCCTAAGGTCATGATGTAGAGTCGGCGCTGCCCATCCAGAACATCCACACGACAGCACACACCGCCCACCACCATGTCATTATAGTATGCTGAAGGATAAACATAGTAATCTTAAAAAATGTAAACATCTGTTGTAAAATAAAAATGATAGTTTATGCAATTAATGAGTTTGTTTAAAATATGCATTTTAAATACACAAGATACAATATACATGAAAAACATTCGCAGCCAAAATTTTGTCTTTGCAATGAATTCTATAATCTTTGTTCACTCTTTTCAGAATACAATAATTTTAGCACTTTTCAGATTTTTCACAAACACAGAATCTTGAGCATGGTATTGAATTAATTCTGCAATTGCATGTATTCACCTAGTTGTGCTTGCAGGGGGTTGAGCTCTGCTCTTTCGACCTGCCTCTCAACTGTCAATCAATCAACTGTTACTATTTTTTTTTCACAAACACACACACAGGAAGCAGCCCATAACAGCTGTCTAACTCCCAGGTACCTATTTACTGCTGGGTAACAGGGGCATCAGGGTGAAAGAAATTATGCCCATTTTGTTTCTGTGTGTATGTGTATTATCTATGCTCGATAATCCTAATTACATAATTACAGTGTATGGGACCCACCTACATTTGAGTTAGCCGGACACTCGAATTTAGCCAAAATTTTACCTGGAAAGTCCAAAAATTATAGCATTTGAATTTATTAAAGTCTTAGTTCAGAAAAAATCTGTTTGATTCCATGTCAGGTTAGCTTTGACTTTTTAGTTGTGATACAAGGTCCCCAAATCTTCCTGGTTTGTGGACACCCAGTTTGTCTTGCAGCTTGGCATGGTTATACCTTTCCTGTTCCTTCTTTCAGACATTTCTGGATGGTGCACCTTTTGTGCCGTTAGAAGACTGCTTGTTTACTCTGGTTCAGCCCAGGGACATGTGCCAGCTTCACATGTAACTGCCTTTGCTTTCAGGAACCCAGGCCACAGAGAATCACAGGTCCCATGCTCACATGGCAGCCATTGTGTGCATCTGGACACAGATGCACACAATGACATTGTGTTCAGCTGTGCTACTGCCAGCTCTAGGGTGGCCTGGATGTTTTGGCTTCAGTGCCAGGTGCTCCTGCCTTGTTACCTGTGGTTTCATCTTCAGTAGCTTTACCCAAATTGTATGCTTCCCTCCTTCAGATGGTGGTGGTGGGCTTTTTCATGGCTCATCTCACATGTTGGCATGATGGACTTAACAGGGAGGAAAGGGTGCAGGCGCCCAAGTCGAAGAAGAGACGCCAGGCCAGGTGATGTAGCCCAAAGCCATACACAATTGACTGGGCCCAGGAACATTATCCAAATAGTGTACCAGGCTGCCAGCACCCTTGTTAGAACACAAACCCACGAGCCTGAATATCAGCCTACAACATGTTGGAGATAACAGTGACCAAAGCTGCGTACTTATGAACATCAAGGATGGCTGACCCAGGAAGCAGGCCTTATTGGAGGCTGACCGCAAGCTGAAGCCAGAGAGGGACAAATCAAGAAAGTCTGCCAACAAGCAGAAGGGGAAGAAGAACCTGCAGAAAGGAGTCAACCAAGAGGTCGGAGAGCAACAGATGCCGCTGAAAGAATCGAAGAAACAGCCTCTACAGAAAAAAACCAGCGTTGAATGTAATGAAACGCCATTTTCTGGGTGAGTCCCGGAGGCTCCCCGGAGCTATCCCAGGCTGATATGCTAATGTCAGACTTTGGCATCAGTCATGTGTATGGAGTTCTTAGGCCTACCGGGGACCACGGCCAGAACCGGGCCCCCTCAGAGAGGCAAGGGGAGCAATGGCCTATAGAAGCCCCCGTGTAGTTGGAAGCATTCTATGTCTGCCATCGACCGGAACAGGCACCCAGAAAGGTAAGCGCCCCAAAACAAACCCCTATTCTGGTTAAAATTGCTACCTAATACCGAACTAGTGGATAGAACTCCCCAACCGAAAACAAGCAAATTAGTGTGACGTCACACACTGCCGCGCCGCTGTCTGCGCAGCTCCCCCCTCCCCGGGAGGGGGAAGGGGGAGCCCCAGACCCCCCGCGCCGGCTACCCACACCTCAGTTCTTGAGGCTGGATGTCAAAAACGCGAAAAACCGCCGACCGGAGGGAGGGAGGGATGCCGGGGAGCCTCCGGGACTCACCCAGAAAATGGCGTTTCATTACATTCAACGCTGGTTTTCTGGGGGGAGCCCCGTCGGCTCCCCGGAGCTAACTACCCACAGACAGAAAAAGAGGGACTTACCCGGGAGGCGGTCGTCGCTCACCCCTCAACTCGAAGCCGAGACAACTGGCTGCAACCGCCGACCCAAAGCAACACAGGCCCGACGAGGGCCAGGGACATTCACAAGGTAACGAGCAGCCAGGACCCTGTTCGACCGCCAAAATCCCCGCGCCCGAATATCAGACCAAGACATATTCCCAAAGACGGCAGCAAGAGCCGCGAACTTACGAACGTCATGGGCACGGGGATAGACCGCAGGCTGGCTAGACCTAATAACCCTGCGGACGACCTGAGAGACCCGAACCCGCGAACAGGGAAGAAGGGAAACCGGATCAACCCACAGCGCGTCCCCGGACACAGAAGCTGTGGCGCGCAAATAACGGCGAAGCGCCGCAACCGGACACAAAACATGATGCACCCCCGGCCTGACCAACCAAGCATCAACCACCCATGGACCCCTCCGGAACGCAGCAGTCTCATTCTTCGCCAGAAAAGAAGGAGACGGCTGCAAACGAACAAAACTATCACCACGACCAAAAGAGCAGAAACCCCTGCGCCGGAGGAGAGCATGAAGCTCCCCTACCCGACCCCCAGAGGCCAAAGCCAACAAGAAAAGTGCCTTGGAAAAACAATCCTGGACCGAAGGGGCCACAACGAAACGAGGAGATGAAAGGAAAGCGAGCACTCTGTCCAAAGACCAGGACGGCTCAGGCGACGCATGAGCAGGCCGGAGGTGAAACAATGCACGAGACAGCTTGCGAAACGGCGCAGACGTAACATCGATACCGAAAGCAAGCTGAAGCGGCTCCGCCAGCGCCGCACGATACGAAGCGACAGTGTTAGGCATAAGATGACGGTCCTGAAACAACCACGAGAGGAAGGACAAGACCACCCGAACAGACAAGGAGCTAACACGACGAAGACGCAAAAAGAAACGGAAGGACCGCCAGGAAACTTCATACTGCCGCCGAGAAGAAGCCCTCAGGTGGGACACCAACAAGGAGGCCACCTGATCACCATAGAGATGATGATAGACTCGAGTCAAAAAAACCATACGCGAAGACTCGAGGAGAAGATCGAACCAGCTACGTGACGTACCGGCCCGATCTGCTGAAAGAGGCGGAGCCGCGGGAAAACCCTCGGGTTCGGACACCGAGCAACCAGCGCCTGAAACCAAGGCTGGGCCGGCCACCAAGGGGCCAGAAGGACAACTCTCCCCCGGTAAGTCTCTAAGCGAGTCAGGACCTGGAGCAACAGCCGAACCAGGGGAAAGAGGTACAGGAACCCCCACCTCGACCAGTCGAGCCGAAAGGCATCGACCCCGACGGCCTCGCAATCGGGGAAGGGCGCCGCATAAACGGGAAGACGCCGCGACCACGCCGACGCGAAGAGGTCCACCTCGGGACGCCCGAACGTCTGGCAAAGCCAACGGAAGGACTCGTCGTCGACCGTCCACTCCGTGGAGAGGGGAACTAAGCGAGACAGGGCGTCGGCCAAGACGTTGGACACGCCCCGTACGTGAACCGCCAGGAGAGCCAAACCCCGAGAACTCAGCAGACGAGTCACCCGAAGCGACCAACCCCAAAGAGACAAGGACCGCATCGAACCCCCGCAGTTCAGGCAATGAACCACCGGAGAGCAGTCCGAATGGAGCCGAATCGTCGATCCGCGGGCCACCCGAATCCTCCCCAGAGCAAACCACACTGCCACGAACTCCCGCACCGTACTGTGAGCTCGACGGAAGGACGGATCCCAACGCCCCTGGCCGGCCTGGTGAGCACTGGTCACAAAAACCCCAGCCGAGAGACGACGCATCCGTGTACACATCGAGCGAGGGCTCGGGTAGGCGCCAAGGCACTGAACCCCGAAAAACCCGAAGAGGAAGCCGGTGACGCAGCAACCGACGCAAGTCCCCCGGGGGTCGAACTCTGCGATCGCGAGAGAGGCGGAAGGGGGAACCCCGAAGGAACCAGAACAGTCGTCGAAGCCAAACCCGACCCGGCGGGTAGACCACCATCGCGAAGTTCAGGCTCCCGCACAGCCCCTCGAGCAACCGCCGGGTGACCCGAGGGCCCTCCAGAAACAGACGAAGGCGGGACCGCAGCCGCAGGAGAGACTCCGGAGGGAGAGACAAGGAGGCGGTCCGAGAGTCCCACACGAGACCCAGCCAAGTCCGAACCTGAGAGGGAACCAGATGGGACTTCCTCCAGTTCACCAAGAACCCGAACCCGGCGAGCTGGGAAAGAACCAAATCCCTGGCTAGCAAGCAAGCTGACTGGCTGGGAGCCCAAACCAGCCAGTCGTCGAGGTAGGCCAACACCCGAACACCTAGGAGACGCAAACGAGCCACCACAACCCGTGTAAGGCGTGTGAACACGCGAGGTGCCAGGTTCAACCCGAACGGGAGACAACGAAAGCGGTAACTCAGACGCCCCACTACAAAACCGAGCCAGTCCCTGAACCGCGGATGAATCGGGACATGCCAATAAGCGTCCCGGAGGTCCAGGGACACCATCCAAGCACCCGGCTCCAAGAGGAGCCGAACCTGAGACAGCGTAGTCATCCGAAAGGAGGGGCAATGAACCCAGGGGTTCAGACGGGACAAGTCCAGAATGAACCGCAGGTCCGCGCAGTCCCATTTCGGAACTGGAAACAGACGGGAAACCCATCTGAGGGACGACGTCATTTCGACGACGCCCAAGCGCACCCACTCCAAGACGACTCGACAGAGCGCAGGAAAGAAGCCTGCCCCGCCAGCCCCGACCCCCCAAAGGGGGGAGGGGCCACCCAACGCCACCGCAGGCCGCGAGACACGACCCGAAAGGCCCACGAAT